CCCCCCCCCCCCCCACGCCCTACCAGGAGCCTCCATGGACATCTTCAAAACAATATGCCCGGCTACAGGCAAGTGAGTACCGCCGGCGGTTTGATCCCCTTATCAATGACGAGATGGTAAAATCAACTGAATTCAGACAAAAGTGGCGCGCTAGACTGTTCTTCAGTCGGTTTCAATCGACCTTTCCTCTTCTCACAACTATCATTCTTCTTTTCGTCCTCCTGGGAGCCGTGATAGGAATCTCGGGGATAGTGGGGCGTCACTACCTGCATTAATCTATGTTAAAGGAGATGGAGCGGCCGTTGCAGCAACAGAACGCAAACGTTATGGTTAAACCGTATGGAAACAGTACAGAAGAAGCCCGAAGCCGTGGCTACCATTTCGACGCGATTTCGTTCAGCTGGCTGCCGTACGAGTGTTGTGACTTTAAGCCCAGTGCTCCAAACTAGCAAATACCGATCTCATCGCCGATATCTGAGCCCAATGTATCGGCATTTGCTAGATATATCGCCATATCGTTGTCGACATTCCTAATTGGGTATACTACCGTCTACTCATGGCCCATGGACTAGATCCGACCAAGGGGCGTCTCTCTAGGTGGTCCATAGAATGGATCCGATGAGGTTGAATGCGCCGTTCGGGATTTCAGCCAATGAGGGGAATTGTCGGATTATAGATTTTCCGGATTACGGATAGTTGGCCAATCACGTGACCCAGTATGGGCCCTCGGAAACGACATCCGAAATCGGCGATACCGACAACGACAGTTTCGGTATCCGCCAAATACCGATATATCGGCGATATGACCGACTAGTTCGGGAGAGCTGTCAGACGAATGCAGGGAAGTCAACAAGCTCAAGTGGTTCCTAGGCCCCCAGAAAACCCTGCCTCTCACGTACGATCAGATCATGACAGGTGAGTACACCGACCTATACGTGAATTGGGAGTACCATATCACCCACTGCACCGCTATGTGGAAGAAGATACATCGTGCGCCGATGAGAAACCTGGGACTCGGGCAGTTGATAGTTATATTGGCAGCTACACTCATACGCGGTACAGCACGACCGATTTAAAAGGCCCACTTTATCACACGCAGAGCGCTGAACAAGAGATACGAGAGCTGATTTCGACGACGGAACATGACCACGATGCCAATTGTGCAATCGTCACAGGCACAAGCCAATACAGAATTGGGACGGTGTTCAGTCAAAAAAGACGAATCATAATTTGCGGTGTGGCTTTGACCGAGGCGGAGCGAAACTATTGGCCGTGGTTTCGGCCCTCAAAAAATGTATGTACTTTGGTGGACAGAGCCCCAAAAATGAGAATGAGCGTAGGTCAAAAAGGCATAAGTACATTGACTTGACAAGGGAATCAGCGACGTACGTGTGGCACAGGTATGGGACGGAAGATATGGCGAGGACTGTAGGCATCCAGTCCACGTAATCGATTCGTTCTGATACTGTCTTGGCAATAATCGATGTGCTCTACTTGGTTGACAGTTGATTTCACCGCGACCATCTGCTGTCACCGTCAATATCGACACTGGATGTCAAGGACGATGGATACCTGTCCAGATGGGAGTGATCGGTCCTTTGGACCTAGAGTAGATCCAGGCTGTCGAAGCCTCGATTTTACCCTTCAGTTCGAAGACTTTTTCTTTGCCTGTTTACCAGCGGCACTGTTCATCCTTCTTTCGACTTGGTCCTTGATCACATTACTTCAGAGGCAAGCAAGATTTTCACTCTGCTCCAAGCTCCTTGCAAGCAAATTGGTGGGCCGCGCTTTTACCCAAATTGCCTGAATGATACGGTCAAACTGACGAGCTCATTTAGGCGGCACTGACTGTTCTTCTTGCTGCTTATCTAGCACTTCTTGTTCTCCGCGTTCAAAATCAGTCGTTTACCACTAGTGCGTCCCTTGCCGCCGATGTCCTGTATGTGATTGCAACCAGCATCGCATTGACTTTGTCTTTCCTGGACCATCAGCGATCGCTCCGCCCTTCAACAATTTTCAGCTTGTATCTGTCAGCATCGGTGATTTTTGGTGCCGCCAGAACTCGGACGCTATGGCTTATGGGAAGTCGAAGTCCGGTACCCGTCGCTATGACCGTGGCCCTGGCATTTACTGTGACGACGTTACTTCTGCAATCAACGAAGAAGAACATAATCTCTTCTCCACAGAATCCATCCTTCGCACCCGAGCAACTCAGTGGAATCTGGAACAGGACAATATTCGCTTGGATTATACCTACGCTCCGGGCCGGATATGCCAGGATCATCTCATTGCATGATCTTCCTATCCTCGATACTAAGCTTGAGAGTAGATATATGCAAGAGAAGTTGAATGCGACATGGGCCAAATGTAAGTGGTGGGAGTTCTACAATAATCTCGAAAGACAGCTAACATTTGCACTCATCAGATAACTATCGAAGCCGCTACAGCCTGCTTCGCGCCTGTTTTCGTGCCTATTTGTTCTCTTTCATGGGCCCCATCATCCCTCGGCTCTGTCTTGCTACGATTACTTTCTCACAGCCGTTGCTTGTCAACACGACCGTGAACTTTGTGGGCCAGACGGATCCTGATCCAAATTATGGAAAGGGACTCGTCGGCGCCTGGGCCCTTGTATATCTAGGAATAGCCGTGAGTGATCTACCGATGCAAGAATATACAAGCGCATATGCGAGCTAATTTTCGCGTTGAAGGTTTCCAAATCTATATACTGGTATCAGAACTTTCGCTTCACCACAAGGCTGCGGGGGGGACTGATTGCGCTGGTTTATCAACAAAGTTTGCGAGTCAGAGCGTTCGAATCGGGCGAAATCACAGCGGTGGCTCTCATGAGCACTGACGTAGAACGTCTCGTGAATGGAATGCTTTCATTCCACGAGGTGTGGGCCTCATTACTCCACATTGCCATCGCAGCTTGGCTTCTTGGACTGCAACTTTCTGTGGCGTGTCTGGCGCCGATCTTACTCGTAGTCGGTAAGTCGAACGATAAGAGTTAAAATACCCAAACTAAAGGCAGTCTTTTGCGAGACAGTATTCGTGGTTGCAACCTCCAAGATTTCGGTTGCGGCCAAAAATGCTCAAGTGGACTGGATCGAAAAAGTTCAAGAGCGGCTTCGAGTTACTTCGACCATGCTCAGGGATATGAAGGCGGTCAAGATGACAGGACTTTCGGGCGTAATGTTTGACATCATCCAATCCTTGCGCATGGGCGAGATCAAGACCTCTAGGGCTTACAGGAAGCTTCTGACTGCGATGGTTTTTCTTTGTATGTATGATTGGGCTCACTTGACCGGGTCATGACCCCTTTATACTAACGACCATGCTCAGCTCTCACCCCGATCAACCTCGCACCTGTCCTCACCTTTGCAGTGTATACCATCATCGCGGTCTTCTGGAAACATGAGTCTTTGCTGACTGCGCGAGCATTTACTTCCATATCTTTGATCACTCTGCTGACATCTCCTGTGGTAATTTTCATTCAGGCGCTTCCCAATGTCGTTCAGTGCCTTGGAATGTTTGACCGCATCCAGGAATTTTGCAATTCTACTGCAAGGGAGAGTACCAAGGAAGAGAACACTTACATTACCGACTACCAGACCGGGTCAGACATCAACTCCTTGACCATGAAGTCAACAGGCACTCAGTCGACCCAGATCTGGGGAAGGGAGCACATCTCATTGAGTGGGCAAAGCTTTAGTTGGCACAAGAGACAATCTGCTATCCTCAAGGACCTCAATGTGAAGCTCCATCGCGGAAGTATTACCGCCATTGTTGGTCCCGTAGGTAGCGGGAAATCGTCCTTTTTGTGTAGCCTCCTCGGCGAGATGATCTCCATTCCATCAGGGAAGGATCCGGTACGACTGAGGTTATCGGAACCTATTGCCTACTGCGCGCAACAGCCCTGGCTTGAGAACGGAACAATTTGTCAAAACATAATCGGTGTGTCTCCTTATGATGAGCAATGGTATTCTGCCGTGAAAGCCGCTTGTGGACTCGACGTGGACACGGAGAAGCTGGAGAAGGGCGATCAGACCTGTGTCGGAAGTGATGGTCTCAACTTGAGTGGCGGACAGAAACAACGTGTTGTAAGTACAAAACATTGTGTAATATTATATCTGTGAACAACTGACATATTTCTACCTCATAAAGGCCCTAGCACGGGCAGTGTACTCTAGGCAGAACATCGTGCTTCTTGACGATGTGTTTAGCGGCATGGATGCCCACACCGCAGACCTTGTCTCCAGCCGTCTACTCGGCCGCCACGGTTTTCTTCGAAAGAACCACATGACTGTAGTTGTCGCTACCCATAGCCGTACGCTTATCACTCTCGGGAGCTTCGATCCACCTGGCTAATTTACGTGATACAGACAAGATTATAGCGCTTGCCGACAGCATCATCGTCCTTGAAGGCGGAATCATCACAGAGATCGGTAGCCCTGCAAATCTGCTCGCAAGTGATGGGTATATTAATAGGCTTGGATTCAAGCTCTTCTCAGACGGTGAACCTGCCGAAGAAAGTCCTCAAAGTCGAGGTGTGTTGCACTCCAGTGAATTTACGCAGGTATCAAAAGAGGTGAGAAAAGAAACAAGAAAAGCACCTGCCGATCTGAGACGTAAGAATGGGGACATTGCAGTGTACAAATACTACCTCACTAGTGCTGGCTACGGCGCCGTCGGTTTGTACATCGGCTTCGTCACGCTATGGGAGTTTTGCACAAATTTCTCCTGTAAGCTTGTATGTCATGGTTTTTTCAACGAGACATGGGCTGAATGAAATCTTAGCGATTATTCTCAAATGGTGGTCTGAAGCAAACAGTGAAGAGCCGAATCGCGATGCAGGAATGTGGATGGGTCTTTACGCCATGTTAGGGGTTCTGGGAACCCTTGGTGTTTTTGTCGCCGCGTGGTAAGTTCGTCCCGAACGCCGAGTTCGATCACCAGCACTAACGCTGTTCTCAGGGTTGCCTTCGTTTTCGTTATATCCAATACGGCCGCTCGTCTTCACCTTGACCTACTTCAATCAACATTAAAGTATGTATGTCTACGTCGCGACAACACAGAAAATCATACTGATCACTGCTCTTGCAGGTCCTCTTTCCAATTCCTGACGACCATGGACCATGGAGAGCTTCTAAATCGGTAAGTCTCAAGGAGGGTTATCCTCACCCGAGAAACTTAGGCCAATCCGATGACACTGGAAAACACTATATTTACTCTTTTTCCCTTGGTTTCCCCTCCTACAGGTTCAGTCAAGATATGGAACTCATCGACATGGAGCTGCCCATAGTCATGGTGAACTACACCTCCAGTGAGTACACATTACCATTTGTCAGCTCTTTAAGATCTACTGTTAAACAATAGCGACAGCCGCAGTATCCTGCATAATCAGTCTGATTATACTCGCAATTTTCTCCAAATATCTCGGGGTTGCCGTACCATTTCTTGCCATCGCCGTCTACTTTCTCCAGCGCTTCTACCTGCAAACATCCCGTCAAGTGCGCCTTCTAAGCATCGAGGCACGAGCACCACTATATTCGCATTTCACGGAGTCTGTAGCAGGAGCTATGACTATCCGTGCTTTTGGATGGGAGTCTCAGTTTGAGGAACGCTGCTACCATCATATCGATGTATCGCAGAAGCCTGCCTATCTGCAAAGCTGTATCCAGCATTGGCTTGGATTCGTGCTTGATGTTATGGTAGCTGTGCTCGCCATAGCTCTTGTCGGAACAGTCCTTACGTGGCATGACAAATTCAGCGCCGGAAGCGCGGGTGTCAGTCTTATCATGGTCATGGGTTTCAATGAGATCATAGCACGCCTCATCCAAAACTGGACCAAGCTAGAGTCCAGCGTCGGCGCGGTTACACGAGTCATGCGCTTTATAGGTGAGTCGGATTCTGAAGATATCCAGAGTCGACACGCCATTATGCCTCTAGAATGGCCGCAAACTGGCGCGGTCGACTTTTTGAACGTGGTTGCTTCGTACGGGTGAGGGTTTTCAACGAGACATACACCCAACCAGTGGAAACTAAGCCAAAATTTCACAGATCTCCGGCGACTCCGGTGCTGAGGAATATCTCCCTCAGTGTCCGGCCTGGCGAACACATCGCCATTTGTGGACGGACCGGAAGCGGCAAGACGTCTCTTGCCCTCTCTCTACTGCAGATGACCGATATACAAGAGGGCCAGATTGTGGTGGATGGAATCGACGCCTCTACAGTTACGCGTGAAGATCTACGCGCGCGGTTAAATGTCGTACCGCAGGATCCCTTTCTCATGCCGGGAACGATACGTTTCAATATCGACCCATTCCGTGGCGCCTCAGACCACCAAATCACTCAAACACTGGTGCGAGTAGGAGTTTGGGACATGATTAGAGATCAAGGCGGATTGGACAAGGAGATAGACATCGCCGCCTGGTCCGCTGGTCAGAAGCAACTCCTATGTCTTTCCAGAGCCATGGTAAGGAAATGTAGGATCTTGATACTGGACGAGATGGCAAGCAGGTAAGCCCATTTAACTCTATCGCCACTTTTGCAGCAAGCTAGAGCACGAGAGACTGACTGCCTGATTCGAAGTGTTGATAGTGAAACGGAGTCCAAAATCCAAGAGATCATCGACACTGAGTTCAAGGACTGTACGGTCCTGGCTGTTATGCATCGTCTGAAGCACGTTATGCGGTACGACTCGGTGGCGCTTTTAAATGATGGAGTTCTCCTCGAATATGATCAACCAGCATCGCTAATCAATAGGCCCACGCGATTCGCAGAATTATACAAGTCCAACATAGGCTGAACGGAGCAGCTGCACAGGCCGAATACGTACTTCAAGGGTTACTGAGCATCGGACAGAATAGAATATGCTTACTGGAGCTGAAGACGCTGTTAGTGCAGATATCAATGGCTTGGGCTATTACGTCCTTCCTAAACCCTCCCCTGTCATCCGACGTTTTTGTACGACAACTTTCCCTAGCATTTTTGAAAAGTAATCAAATGCTTTCCTGCTCACCAAGACGCATCTCATACATGCTCTGTAAGGAAATGCTCTGATCCCTTCCGCCCAGGGTGTGTGTGCTGCTACTTGATACGATCGGCTCACAGGACACACTCCCATTTCAATAGCCAGGATCTCGTCCCTCATAACGGACCGACCGTATCCCCATTCGGGACGACCATTTCCCCATCAGCCCGGCAAGCAATGACGAACATGGAGGTGTCATTGTCCAGCCATTTTCGATTCGCTTAGGCTTAGTGACGGGCCGAGTGATCGATCATATTCAAGGTACAGACCATACAGGTCTTTTCAAAAATCATAGATGTGGATGATGAACGCGAATCTCTAGCCAGAACAAAACCAACAAATGGCGGCACTATATTGAATCGTGTCCGCTTTGTAATCGAAGCAAATTCATGTGTCAACCGCCGACAAAAATATCCATCCCATGCTTCGAAGTTCTCCACTTTGTCGTTTTCTGAAGTAGCTAATCTCTCCTCTCTTGCTGGAGAAAATCCATCCACCACAGGTCAATCACCCGGTCAAGATACTTCAACGTACAATAGGAACGACTGTACAACCGACAGTCTCGGAATTTAGTAAGTCCAACAATCACGCATCAAGGTTTGTACAATTTCGATTCTGGTATGGATTGGAGTCAAGATGATTGGAATACTCCTTCAGATCCTCTGGGAATGATGGCGGACCGGGATCAAGATTGGAAACAATTTTTGAACCTAGAAATCTATCATTGGAATTCTTGCAAAATATACGTCAGTGAGATGTCCCCTGCGGAGAGATTCTTCTCTCGTCATATTGCCATCTCGCAACGAATGAGGTTTGCCACCCTTGGAATTTTTTCAAGCCAGATGATTATCTGAATTCCGTGGCCGTACCTAGAAGTAGGGCAAAAATGAGGACTCGAAACCGAGGAGGACCAGGCTTCTGGCCCAAAAACTTTTCCACGTTGCACCTCGGACACGCCAACTCTTCCGACTGGTTTCCACGGTTTCACCCCCGGTCAACGGACTTATCTCCGATATAGGAAGCACTTTTAGGAAATGCAATCTGATAAGATCCCCCACTCCAAAACCCCGCTAAGCACCGAAAAACTTTTATCAGATTAGATAAAAAATTTACACGACCCATGTAGTGGCAGAACTATTGAAGGACATCTTGGCCACGGCTCCAATCTCCCAGAGGTCGAGTTTGACATCCTACTGCCCCCATGTATGCGGACATTAAGGTTTCATTGGTCGGAATGTCGCTAGACAAGCTTTGTTAAGAACGCCCGGAGCACCTTCAAGCAGTCACAAGCACCTATTCTTCTGGGGAGGAATATTTGCGTCCAACCGGTTCGCCATATCTGCTTAGCTATTCGTCTTTGGCCAGTTACGGTTCGGTCCACGAGGAATCTAAGAGTTTGATGGGGAGGTTTTTCTAGGTGGAACCACACTCACACACACACTACTACATGCCAGATGTTTCCACTAACCTGTGATTGAATTCAAGCTCTAAAAAAGTTACGAAGTAGTTCATATGCAAGTGGAAGAACAACTGCTTTTCCTCCTACTTTTCTTTTTTTTCTTATTTCCTTTCTTTCCCCCCCTCCCTTTACACCTCTCTGAGCGTTTCTCCATTTTTCTCACAATCAAATGTATGGTAACCATGTCATCGTTTACTAAGTTGAGATCTGTATTTCGTCGCATGACAACCGATGATGCAAATACATCGCGTCCCGTGTCAGAAATGAGTTTGGGCGACAGGAAACACCCTCCAGCCAGTGATACCGAAGTTGGCACATCTTCAGACAAGGCTCAAGTATCCAGCCAAGAACCTGAACAACCTTCCGAAGACGTGCAACGAGGAGTTCAACAAGTTGAGGCCGTTACTTTAGCATGGACTAAAAGGTCACTTATTGTGGTATTCATCCTGTAGGTATCTGGCTCTAGCCCTGTTGCGAGTACCGGGGGCTGATAACTCCCCCCAGCATGTTTCTCCTTTACTTTGTCAATGCATTCCAGTCTTCCATCTTATACAACCTCGTTCCGTTTGCCACGAGCGATTTCGAAACTCACTCATTGTTGACGGTCATATATATCGTCGCAAACGCCATGTCGGCCGCAGTATATATTCCCCTCGCCAAGATGCTGGATCTCTGGGGCCGTGCGGAAGGATTTCTTGTCATGATTTTATTCACCACTTTAGGTTTGATCTTGATGGCATCATGTAATGGCCTCTCAACCTTTTGCGCCGCACAGGTGAATTGATTTGCCATCAGTGTTGTCAAGATACTGATCACGGAATAGGTCTTTTGGTCTGTCGGTGCCGGTGGTATGATTTACAGTGTCGACGTCATCACCGCCGATGCGTCAAAACTAAAGAATCGAGGATTGGCATATGCTTTCACATCATCGCCATACATTATCACAGCTTTTGCTGGCCCAAAGGCATCTGACGACTTTTATTACCACATCAGCTGGCGATGGGGCTTTGGTTGCTTCGCAATCATCTTGCCGGTGGTAGCAGCGCCGTTGTTCTTTATCCTAAAGCATAACCTCCGCAAGGCAGAGAAGCAAGGTGTCCTGGTCAGAAAGAAAAGCGATCGCACGTTGTGGCAGAATGTCTGGCATTACTTCGTCGAATTTGATTGTAAGTTTCTTTCTTCTGGACCCTCAAAGCCTTATTGACCGGTCCATAAAGTGGTGGGAGTGATTCTTTTCGCCGCCGGCCTTACCGTTTTCTTGCTACCGTTCACTCTTGCCGACACCGCGCCAGATGGATGGGGTTCGGGATACATTATCGCGATGATCGTGGTAGGATTTGTGGTCCTCTGTATCTTTGGCCTTTACGAAATATTCCTGGCGAGAACACCATTTTTGAACGTCCATCTCCTGGCCAACCGAACTATTATCGGCGCTTGCTTGCTGGATCTGACGTACCAGATCTCCTACTATTGCTGGAACAGCTACTTCACCTCTTTCCTCCAGGTCGTCTGCAACTTGACGCTGGCAGAGGCCGGATACGTGGGTAGTACATTCGACATTGTTTCCGGCGTTCTCCTCTTGGGTGTGGGGTTTTTAATCCGCAAAACCGGCTACTTCCGGTGGCTTCTGCTCATTGCAGTTCCAATCTACGTTCTGGCCCAGGGTTTGATGATCCACTTCCGACAGCCGAACCAATATATCGGCTATATTGTCATGTGCCAGATATTCATCTCCATCGGCGGAAGTATTTTTATCATCTGCGAGCAAATCTCAGTCTTGGCCGCCTCGGACCATCAACACGTCGCCGCTGTCCTTGCCTTACTCTACGTTGTTGGAAACGTGGGCGGCGCAATTGGCAACACGATTTCCGGCGCCATCTGGACAAACACGTTTGAAGATGCCTTGACCAGATATCTTCCGACGTCTGCGCTGCCACAACTCGCGGACATTTACAACGATTTGGACACCCAGCTAAGCTATCCTATTGATAGCCCGACGCGAATCGGGATTCAGAAGGCATATGGGTACGCGCAAGAACGAATGCTCATTGCCGGCACTGCTATCATTGCCTTGTCGTTCATATGGATTCTCATGATCAAGAACATTAATGTTGCAAAGATCCAGCAAGTAAAGGGTACTGTTTTCTAAAGAAAGCTATGAAGAATGGAACTCGAACTCTCCTAACTCTCGTCATGTACCGTGCCAGTAACCTCTCCGCCTACTCTGGGTGACAAAGCTGGGAAGAGAGTCCTCGATGAAGTGAAATTTAGAAGAGAGAAGGAGTGGGGGGAACTGCCGGTAATCGGATTGGCTCTTGCTGGTCGACCTGCGGAAGCGATATCGAGTTGTCACGTTCCAAGACTGGCAAAGATAAATACCCAGCTACTATATAGAATACAAGGGCATTCCGATGTTTGTTTTCGATCCCGCTATCTTAATCAAAATTAGTTGTACGGCGGCACTACATCACATACAGTTGCTTCGAACTATCCTGTCCAGTCTATAACTGAGGTAAACCATGACTTCGAAAATTCACGTTCGCTACCTCGCCCAGGGTAAGAAGACCAGCGTCAAGGGGATGGTCTTCGTGACCTGCCAATCAACCACTATATCCTCGCTGACCAACTTTGCTTTTGTCGCATGGGTACTCTCCTGCTACAAAAACGAATGTATACCTCTACCGATGCCACGGAATATGAGTCGATGATGGAGATGATCATGTGTCAAACAATTAGTGGATGTACATTGATTGTTGTTGAAGGCTCTGTCTGTTTGGCGACTATTTCTACCAGGTTGCCAGTATATATACAGGTTAGGTTGACCGTTTTTACTCCTATTCCTACCCCTATATCCTGAATAGGTGTGATAACCCCGTTTCCAATAACGGGGCACTGGCTGCTGTTCAACACCATGGCTTTACCCGCTACTTCCATGCAACACGACCTACATCCACCATACCTAATTACCTCGACAGATATGGATTGTGCTCTGATTTATGGGGCGAGACGATCAGACTGCGGCGTTCCTGCCTCCACATTCGCGACTCTTTATTTTGTGTGATTCTACAAAGGACTTGTCCCATTTCGAAGGGGTTCAAGAGACCGTCAGCCTATATTGTTTCGAAGCATGTACGAAGCATACAACGCCTCCGAGGGTCTCTACATGACTTGGCGTCGCCACTTATCACATCACCTCGGGGCCAGAGCCAAAGGTCGGGATGGATCGGAATTCGGGATCGGGATCGGGGTCGGGATCGGGATCGGAACCGGCACATTGCAAAATGGCCTAGATATATGGCTCAAGTGCTGGACAACGTGGCTGAACAAGATGTGGGATTGATCATTCTTGGCCGAACATCGATGACGACCAACCTTCTACAATCATCAACAGGGTCCATTGGCTACATAAGCACTGTATTCTTCAATCTCACGAACTTGAAAGATCAATTTCGTCCGCAATTTGTCCTTTCTGTCCCATGGGATCCAGACTCTACTAGCAGCGACTACCATTGATGCCATCTCACCGTTGTCTCTCCGTGCTGAATCAGCATCTTCACCACAATGAATCAGTGCAAGGTAATAAGGTCAATCATACGAGGAAGATGAAGAATTTCGACGTCGCCATCGTAGGTGGAGGTATCGCAGGCCTGACACTGGCGATCGCACTATATTACCGTCAAGTACCCGTCACAATCTACGAGCAGGCACCGCAGTTCGGTGAGATCGGAGCTGGGGTGTCCTTCAGCCCCAATGCAGTCCAGGCGATGAAGGCGTGTCACTGGGGCGTCCACCAAGCGTTCGAAAAGGTCTGCACCAGAAATGAATGGCCATCGAAACAGAAAGTCTGGTTCGACTACCTTGATGGCTACCGTGGTCCCAAAGACTCAAGCAAGACTCAGGAGATCGCGTTCAGCATCTGCAACAACTTGGGCCAGAATGCCGTGCATCGTGCACGTTTCCTCGATGAAATCGTCAAACTGGTTCCCAGGGAGATTTCTCGATTTGGCAAGAAGCTCGTGAACATCACTGAAAGTCAAAATCGGAGAATGGTGATGTATTTCGAGGACGGCACAACGGCTGAAGCGGACGCCGTGATTGGTTGCGATGGCATAAAGTCCCGTATGCGGCAACTTATTGTCGGCCCTAACCATCCGTCCGCGCAGCCTGTATATACTCATAAGTATGCATACCGAGGATTGGCGCCGATGAATGATGTTATTGCGGCAATTGGAGAAGAATTGTCGTTGAACGCCTGTATGCATGTGAGTATCTTCAGCCTTGATGCCTTCGATGGTTGGGTAGATGGATACTGACCTTGCCCTCGTAGTTGGGCCCAAACGCCCACGTGTTGACGTTTCCGGTCGATCTCGGAAAGACACTCAACCTCGTGGCCTTCAAAACGACCTCGCAGCCATGGCCTGATTCGCAGCGACTAACGAGACGTGCCAATCGAGCGGAGGCGCTTAGCGACTTCAAAGGGTTTGGACAGAATGTCATCAAACTGTTGAATCTGACCAAGCCGGACCTCGACGTCGTAAGTATATGATGACAACATGATGGGTTGGGTCGGATTTTCTAACAATGCCACAGTGGGCTATCTTCGACCTCGGGGAGCATCCACCGCCAACCTACTATAAGGGCCGCCTTTGTATATCGGGAGACGCCGCACATGCCACCTCTCCACATCACGGTGCTGGTGCCGGGATCTGCATCGAAGACAGCGCAGTCATGGCAGAATTGCTGGCGGATGAACGTGTATGCGAACCTGATCACCTCGAAGCAGTCTTCGCCACCTTCAGCGCGGAGAGGAAAGAAAGAGGCGAGTTTTTAGTACAGAGCAGTCGATGGATTGGAGACTGCTATGAATGGCGGGCAAGCGGCATTGGCAGCGATATGGCCAAAATCGAAGCCGAGATCAATAAGAGGAATGGCATCATTGCCAATATTGACATGACGAAGGTATGTGAGCATGCGCGGGAGGAACTGGGCAAGAGATTATGCTAAGATGTCTCCCTATTTCGGTGGCACTTGGCAGGCACTGATGTCCCAAGCTAAACGCTCGGAAATACACAATTATATTGCAGAGCGATAACATTTAACATTGTGTCAATCTGCCGAAGTGCAGCTTAAAGAGTTTAGGGAAATTTTGCTGTGGCCCCGTTTCTCAACAGCCTTCTTTAAACAGCGGTTCACAGTCCCTACTGCCATACCTAGAGTCACCACCTCGCAGCTGGGGGTTTTTTTTGAGATACATTTTCTCGCAACGTACTTATCAGCACATGTTATGACTTCTATCATTGCTCAATACGGCGGTGTAAAATGTTACTTACACGAAATGCAGGATTAGGCCACTTTAGACAGAAAGTCCCGAGGGCCGTCCATGTGACTGTTTTTCCTTCACCAATTTCGTAATACGGAGATCGAGATGCACTCGGCCTTGCAAACGACCTCACAAATTGACCCGTCTAGGGCCGATCCGCCATGTACAACCTTATATGTATTTTAGCTTGATAGGAAATAATCCAAATTCGTAATTTGTTGACCGAACCAGGCATCGCCAATGAACTCTGCGCCGTACGGATTGAAGGCACTGAAATCAAATTGATCTGATGCGCCGAGATCTTGAGGTGCTCGTTGTGAAGCAATGCTATCAACTACGGGTACCTCAGGAATACCATCGGAGCCATTGATAGGAATTTCTGGGGTTCCTCCTGCGATTGGTAAAGTTTCATGCATCAGTAGAGAATTCGCGCAAAAAGGAAAAAGGAGAATTCCATCCTCACCTCGAACCTGTACCTTGCAAATCCGTGACCAAAGCATTTGAAGGACGTGAATTGCCTGGGTCGCGGACTGGATTTGCTCCTTGTAGTGCTCGAGTACGGACAGACAACGATTCCAACTGGATTCGAACGAGTCGTTACCAACGTCAGTCTCCACGTTCGGGCACCGCCATGCCGCGAGGAGAATGGTGGCCGAGGCAAATGTAACTTTCCTGCTCAGCAAAAAGCCCTCCGGAAATTGAGACAAGTCTTACAATATACAGAATGCCAGCCTGAGCTTTTGTAGGCAGTATCAAGATGCTCGTGAATGTTTTCGATGAGACGGTGGGCGGTCACAACGCACAAGTTGGAACAGCGTTCGATTACTTCTTCGTCGAGAGATGGTTGACTCTCTTCAGGTAGTCGAACCGAGGAGGAAGGTTCGGGGCGTGTAGCAAGAAGAAGCAATGGGCGCAGGCACAGTAGTCGCACATATAAAAACCTGTTGGGCTAAGCAAAATGGCTGCACAGAACTTAGAATAAGAGACTTTACCTGCAGTATAGCACTTGCTGCTGCAAACCTACGCAGCTGTTTTTTTCAGAGATGACCATCCCTGGTATCTCTGTCGTCTGTAGATACTCTGGAATGGAGTTAAAAAGCTTCACAAGACGTCGATTAAAATCCAAAGCCTGTGGCAACATTTCTCTGTTGCACGCTTCTGATCCAAGGTGCTTGGGCTGTCCATCATCAATGTAAAAGCGACCAAGGATCTCAGCCAGTATTTCGAACAATCTGCAGGATGAGACGAATAGACCCATTCGCGACGGGACATTTGCTGGTTGAACCCCATCTTCTCCGTCATCCCTCAAGTATTCATCGTCAATTAAAGACGGAATGGGAACGTTCGAGGAATTCCAGATCATGGTCGGCCGGCCGAACGTCATAGCTAGCAATCTGCGAAGACTTTAGAACTTTAATTTCAATTAGTGTCAGGACGCAACCTCGTACCTGTCTAGGCAAACACATACGTGCCAAACCCTTCGCCTCATCTCGCGGCCCAGTTGGGTCTTGCTTTCCACGTCAAGATGTAACCCCATACCCTGAGCAGCCCGTATTGCAAGGCCAACGACATTCCAGCAACGAATTGGATACCTCGACGATTGGAGATAGATGCCCTGCAGAAGCAACAGCTGTACCAGTGGCAACGAGGTTGAGTCAAGTATTTCGAAGACGAAAAGCTTCCTTGACCTCTGGTAAAATTCATCCGCAAGGGAAGATCTTTTCGTCGGAGGTACCAACGAACTGTACTGGCATCCTATGGCGAACACAAGATTTAAGGTGGACAAGAAAACTAAGTTTTCCCGACCGGGATCGTCATCGGTGGATTTGAAAAGATTCTCAGGAAGCCACAGGGTCTCATACTGCGTGATGAAGGAGGACTTGTGGATGACGGGAAAGACAGGATGGATGAACTCCCAATAACATCGGACGAAATCGTCTGCACTTCGGCGCTGAGGATAAACAGCTGCGGTCTCATCCTTTTCACGGATTACCTCCGGAGTCGCGACGAAGGAAGGAGATCTAGTTTGAGCGAGTTGCAATCCACCGGCATAGCTCCGATCATTTGACTCGGATGGCGTGGCTTGACCGTGGACAACGTGCCGAACAAACGCGATTGTCGATGATCCGCCGTACTGTATATCATCATCTCCGACTGACGCGACAGTAGCCAAGGCATCTACCCCATGAAAATCCTGATTGCCCTTCGAGGTCGGCGGAGAAATTGGTTGACAGACTAACCTAGGTAACAATTGGCTCTCGGTAGATAGTGCCTGATGCTCACTCTCTTCTAGTTGACATAACTTTGGTCAGTGAATTTGCTCTATCCATCTAATACAGCATGCTTCCTTGCGACTGAAGCTGTATTAAGCGCATTTCTGGGCAGTAACGCTTACGTGTGTTGCCCAGTTGCTTATTCGCTTCTCCGTGCTGCAGCCGTATCACCGAGTCTGGATTCGAAAGACTCCTGATGACGCGATTTAGTGATTGTGGCACCGCAGAAGCCACAACTGGAGGTTTTACCTTCGTGCCGAGAAGGCAGGACGTTCATAAACGCAAACCTCCGAGACACCGCGCTTCTCACAACGTGCACACACGGGGCGTCTTCCGTCGCACCTGGTTTTCTGTGCGCGACACTTGGCACAGGCGAGACGAATTTTTGCGCGCCTTGGTCGCACCAAGGCTGATACAGCATTAGGCGTCACTTCCATTCTCGCGGCCGACCTGGTATCGTCTTTGGCGAATCCATTTTGTGATGGTATCGGCTTCAGGTTGGTCGCTGGGTATATGCAGGTTCTCCAACGCTTCCGGAAACTTAGTTTTTCGGATTTGCCCCCCTTGGCGTCTTGGCTCTTCTCTTTTTTTTGGCCACCTGAACACAGGTGCGCTCTGCGCCAATACTGCCTCCCACCGTGGCTTCAGATACTTCGATGGCTTCCAATTGACTCAGGAAGATCGTATACAACTCCCAATCAAGTTCCTAGAAGATAGCACCGTTTCATCTCAACGGAAAGCAGCTTCCCTGTTCAACATACTCAGGGCCACCCTTTAAGCCGATTTCATGGCACACGCTCTGCCAAAAGGGTTCAGCAGTCTCAACAGCGCCTGTCAGTGCAAGAGGAGGACTCAATTAAGCGTTGTATTACCACCATGACGTCCTAAGGCTGGCCAGCCAGCATCAGATACCTCAAATCTCTCGCTCTAGGCTTTACGACCTTGGCCTTGATGCTGGCCCTCGCTGAGGATGCTGCCATTCGAGCACGAAGTCTGAGGATCAGTTGAAGCCAAGAGGAACAGAAAAGGAACGCTGTCATTGAGGAGACAAGCAGAAGGTGACGGCATAGGCACGTGGAAGTTGAGATTCCAGAGAAAGTGAGAGGAAATGCCCGATCTGTGGCAAGGGAGAAGGGTGGGCGAGTAAGGGTCTGCAATGGTGGATACAAGCTGAAGACAACAGGAAACACACAGACCATGGTGTTCCGGTGATGATTGCAACTTCATCAGGCGATTTGGAGGACAAAATTCCCAGTATTCCAGAACCACTTCTTGCAAACTGGTCTGAAGCCTGTGTTCCGCGCTTCTCAGGAGTACATCGAGCCTGTAGAGTTGCTGAGTTGTTCCAAACACCCTCAGTAAGATCAATGACGGATACAATTTTGTGGCTGAACCACTCTGTGGTAGAGTTGTAGCAAAAATCTGTGAATTTTGAGACTCGTGGAAGGCCAGGACTTGAAAATAGGCAGTGAACTTCATCTGCAGTTTGTAGTTCCCCGAGCGACATCACTATATCTGCACCGCAATCGGAACTTGCGAAAAGAACTCGGATTTGGACGGCGAGTCTGGTTGATGTCTAAGAGAGTGCCGGCCTCCGGTGGAAGCGAAATCCAGCTGCCGTTGGAAGTCAATATCATCACCGTCGTAGTATCACTTACTGGGGATAGTCGACGACTTGCTACGAACATGGCTTTCTCTTTGGAACATCGGGTTGATCATCCTGGTAAGGGCGCTGTAAGCCTCTCTACCTCCCCAGACTGTTGCGAGAGAAGCTTGAACCGAACCCGAGCAAACTGTTAACAGCCGGAGTTGTTCTTTTGTTCGGCATAAAAGGACGGGGCTCAACATCGGGCTTGCTGGAAATTGCAGACCCTCACCATGGAGAAAGCGCCAGCCCATGAGCCGGTCTTCCCAGGATATTCAAGAAATGAGGTGACACGGCCACCAGCCATTGACTACCGCTCGCTAGCTTTTCGATCAGAACGTTGCGACCGCAATTCGCAGGGCTGCACGTCCAACTTGATGTACCCCATGGCTCGATATGGCGTCTGTCGATCTACATCTTCCCCCTTATCAAGTACGAAGACACAAATTACTCTACCCTTTACATCTCCAGACAGGCAGTGTCCTAGCAGCACACATAACGACAATGACAGAGCCCTGTTCTTTCGGCGACAAACATCTTTTTATACCTAAGCTACCTCGAGTCGCGCATTGCTCGGAACACACCGTGGCTCTCAATACCGCAGCTGCCATTTCGCCGGATTGGAAACATGAATTGTTCTCGCTAAACCAGGGCAAACCGGTGGTCGTCGAACTACGGACCCCAATGCTTCGCCCAAAAGGGCGTGTCCTTCAATCGGTTCGATACTGGGCACACAGAAGATTTCAGAGACAGGAAGCTATTCTTCTTCCAGTCGTATGCCGAGACATACTCTACATCTGGAGGACTGATATGTTCTGGTCGTTGAAAAGATCACCGAGTATCGGTGCTATCAAGCCCAAGAATACTGCCCAGGACATTCAATTGTCCACGGAAGGCTTCACCATCTTTGCTATGAGGAGTTAAAGAGAGGCTTTTCTTCATCAGATCTGAGTCAAGCAATACAAAGATCTCTGAGGTCTCGAACGCCAACGGCACTTGGTCTTATAGCACCTCTTTGGGCCAGAATAATACTGCGCGGCTCACATGTAATATTTGGGGCAATTTTTGGGAGGGGTTTTCTGATGGTGTAGGGAGAAGTTGTATCTCTGTCTTTCTGCATCTGATGGCGGTAATACCAAGGTCCCATACGCGCCACTCCCTATATCTTCGATTTACGGCTGAAAATACGGATAGCACTCTTCTTGGAATCTCTAGTGCAAATACTTCACCGAGTCTGATATACGCCGAAAACCTGTCCACGACACCTGTGACCTGGACTCTCGCTGCCAGCAATTTCGAAGCATCCAGTATGGTCGGAAGCGAACTGGGCAAGTTCGTGCGATATCCAAAACCTGATGCCCTTATGGCAAAGCAAATGCCATCTACAAGTTCGAAGAGTCGGGCGCAATCTGTATCGGCAACGCGCCAATGCAAGCTCAGAAGCCGACACTGACTCCCGAATTTCTCAATCACAGTTTTCCGGGGTAATAAGCAGTACCTCTATAATGGCAATCCCGTTTTCATAGACGGACGTGACGACCCCTAGCACTCGACCTTGGCAGGATTGCCATAGTTTTCTCGAAGATGCCGACCGACGACTTGTTTCAATGGCCGGGGATTGCAGAGGGCTACTTGTCTTTAACCTGAAGACTTTTCGGTTCAAGCGCTTGGGTGGAGGCTTGGGCGTCTAGAGTGACAATGGCATGTTGGAAGCAGCACTGGGAAATCGTTTTACATTCTCTCCACCAGTTCCGTTGATGGCACCACCACGGCCATGTACTGTATTCCAATACCGCCAGTTGAAAGACGAGTACATCATTATCGGCGGTATGGTCTGGCTGAGATGGTGACAAGCCCACAATCAGGCTCCTGCGAGCAAATGGCGTCGAATATTATGCTCTAGAATACGTTGCGTTTCTAATCACGTTCCAAACGCTGCAGCTCGAAAGGTGTCCAGCCTTCGGGGGGTTTAACCTTTCATATTCATAAAATCCCATCGGGGTCCGGCTATTTTGAAACCATCCACCCTGAATTCGATGCTCACACAGCTCAGGTATACCAACTCCTGAAATGTTGGACGCCACAACGAACCTCAGCCTATTGAAGACTGTGTGGCGCTTGACAAATTCTTGTCCAGCGATGTTTTTGAGTTATAGCTATCAGAAATCGGTGCGGGCAAAACGCGAAGTTGAGCTTCAAGGCCTGGAACATTTAGATTAGCCTGGGACACTTGACCGACTGATCCTGGTTAGTCCTCACCCTACATTCTTCAGTCAAGCTTGAAGAAAGACAGAGTCTTTGGACAGGTTCGCTCCGCTCTTCCTAGTTAAAGCAACAAGCTACGGCAGCTTTGCTCAGCTTAGCCACAGAATATCATATTATAAAATCTGTTCCATAGGCCGGCAGTTAGCTCGTTCCCAAACAATCCTTGAGTTCGCGCAAGACGCGGTTGGAACAAGAGTCCACGGTATGCAGAGCCGAGAGAAATTTTGAAAGCAGCAGTTGATACCCGAAACAGCTTAACCGGATTGGCCTGATCAAGTGATGCACATATATGATTTGGTGGACGGGATGAAATGCCATCGTTTATTTGTGTTGATGGCCGCCACTTGATTTTCTTATTTCTGCAGAGGACGAACCTATGGTTGCCCATTTTTTGGTAGCTCATAAAGAGTTGTGTTAGAAAAAACCTTCAGTTGCTTGCAGTGGAAAAAGCATGAATGAGGTTAGCTTTGCAGGGTAAGATTATTTTCAAATCATTCGCGGTCGATCTGCTGGTTGAGATGTTCGGCTGGTCGTCTTCCGAGCCTGGGAAAATGTTTTCTCTTGCATGTTCCGAGACACTTTTACTTGTGTGGGGGTAGTGGTTTGGAAGTGGCCTGGACAGCGTCAACTCGATATTCAAAGAATGAGAATTAATTACCTTTTTCCAATATACTCCAGAATGCTAAAAATCTTACCCAAAAGTAGAGCTGGATGGGCCGGGAGTAATTGGTTCTTATCCCCAGCTCTTGCAAAGATCAATATCGTAGCACCCATAGACCTAACTGACGTATTCAATATGACAAAGACTTCTATCCACCGTTCTTGATTTGTGAAATCTAACGAGATTTTGGACCAACTAGTGCGGACTTTGGGCCAGGCTTCGGTATTGAACCTGATCGATTCCAACTCCAGTTATGCTGCTGTATGTTGAAAAGGAGCAAATATTCTTCAGAACCGACCCCCAGTACTGGATGGATCAAATGGACCATCTAGTTTCTGAGTTTGCAAACGAAGCCGGGCAGTGGCAGAACACAGCCACGTTTTCCTCCTCTGTAGTGATTCCCCAGTTCATTCTTCTCCAATCGGTGTAGAAATGTGTTAAGAACTTGAACACAAAAATGGATGAATCAAAGAAAGAACCATCAAACTTTCCAAAACCGGCGCCAGATATCGGTGGGCCCAGGAATCGAAGAGCTCTGGGAATGGCATTGTGCATGCGAAAGTCATCATGGACAACTTCTGGAATTAGCTAATGCTTATCAGGGATCACCAGAGAATGCAGTGATCGAGTGATGGAACAAACAACTTGAGCTTGAAGCGAAATCGCAGGCCAGGCAGACGGGGCTCGCCATCAGATTTTTGCATGTAGGCTAATCAGATGTGTTCTATTAAAGCTGTTTCATAGATGATATCGCTTGCTTTCACGTTCCTATTTCAACTCTGTATGCCCACTTCGGTGCCAAACTGCCAGCAATTTTCGGCAGCGTCCACAGCGATGTTCAACATTCTTCAGACCGCTTACCAGGTAGGGGACACAGACGAGTACGATTGTAGTAAGGAACAAAGTGCCTGCCCAGGCACTGGGCGAGCAAAGAGGTCAGCATTGCTGTTGTCCTTCTTGAAAGCATTCGAAGCAACATACTGGTTCATGTTTCCGCTCGAAAGGGTTGTCATGGTCCTGTCTCTTGCACCACAGTATGGGCAATCAACAATAGCTTCCAAGTGACCCAGATCATAAAGTGGTGTGGGCTTTTGGTTGAATACCTGAGTGTCCGAATGGTGAGCTGTGGTCAATCTACCGACAAGTACGGATTGTCGAATTTGGGAAGCAGGATCATTATTCTGCCTGCCCCACCAACATCAATTGCAATCCTTCAAGTCGACAAGTATCTTACCCCTTCATTTTCTCGTAATACTGCCTGTCAATGGCAGTTGAAGCGTCATAAGGTGGACAAGCTGCATTATACTTGATCAACACACACTCCGGTGCTTATGCCGGGCTAACTGTACAATTGTTCCTATGTTCCTCCATAATGGTAGGGTTCAATGTGACGACGATCACTCGATAAAGGATCCGCAGTCTTACGTTCCTGAGGCGAAAGGAGGTTCGTCTTTGTATGTGTCTGACCTTTTGGGGTCATCAGGCAGCAACATTCTTGTATCAGGGGTTTTCGCCGAGCCGCCACGCTTGCGGGGCCGAAGCGGGAGACTGAAATCAGACAACGCTTTTCCCCTTGCAAGATTGCTGTTGCTTGGACATGGGAGGAGAATCTAAATTTGGAGGTGCGTGTACAGTAGGTGACCAAAAGTCCACGCATATCCCACCCAGAATTTAGCTGACAACAACACCATTGAGTCAAATTTAGAAATCTAGTATTGAAATGCTGCAGTACGGCATTCACCCTCGTATCCATACTCTTGATACAATTGTCGATCCACTCCTGTTCCAGGTCATTTCATTCCTTAAAAATTACTCTGGCGACTGCCTCGGGACTCTCTTGGGACTTGCTCGTATCAATAAAGTGTGGGTGGTTCTTGATTGGCCTGGATTTCAAGATTGCCCACAGGCGAAGTACGTGGATTGGCGCGTTTCCCTGCATGAGAGGCATACCTGGTTCCCAACACCTAGGTAACTGATCGCAAGTCCTGCGCTGTACGAGCGTGCTGTGTAGCCCATGTTGATTACTCTCTCAGGGTATCACGTCATTACGGCGATATCTGGCCTTCCTTCGAGTCGGATTGCGCCCCCAAATCTCTTCCTTTAGGATAAAGGTTAATCGTATGCTTCTCCCATTTCTGGGACGGTGGACGGAACACCTTGGTTAGTCTTTTCCATGGTCCGCTTTCGAGAGAGCGCATTTATCGCTGAAGATAACAGTAGACTAAAGGTCTCTGGTCCAATCTTTTCGCTCCTTACACCAACGATAGCGCGCGCAAAGTGTTCTGAGGGGTTAAAGAAGGCCCCTTTACGGAAATCCAGTTCTTGATTTCCATGCTTTTTTGAGGATTCGACGGAGAAGGATAATCTCGTCTCACGGGCGGGCTCCGCGTATAAGAACTTTGGTTTTAGTCGGACGATGCGTAGAATTACTCGCTCGTCTCGGCCTATATAGATTTGAGGCCTGTCAGAGCGTGGTTGTGAAATAGACTCGTTGCGAAGCGGTTCCAATTGAACTTCTTGTGCGCGTGGTCCAAATTGGTACATGAACAGGTGTCACCAATTTGTGCCAGGAAGCCCTCCCAACACGACATGCACCGGCGATTGAAGCATATGAGGAAGGTTTCAATTCCCTCCCCAATGCTCTATTTATATCTAAAATCTGTAGAGGCCATCGTTGTTGAGCCATTGACGGCTGAAGTTGCGGTAGAAAATAGCGAGTGGATGGGAAACATGAAAACGCAACGTGTGAGGTGCGTTAGGTTTTAGTCACCTAATCTTGACTGTTTCAATGAGCAGCTTTCCCCGCATCGCTCGTCAAGAGCGTTGCTTGTTGCAGATGCCCATGATGGTGCCCTGTCTGTGGTTGTCTTGATTTCCAAAATTTGAAACCACCATTCTTCCACGCGACGCCTAGAGCTGGACCAGGATGGCCAATTGTGAGAACTAGGACAGCAATGACCATCATGGCACCATCAAGAACCATGAACATGACTTCATTATTTGCCAAATCGCTACCGAATCCTTCACTGAGCTCCGCAACTCGAAAGGAGCACCGAATCAGAATGGCAATTGTCGCTATACCCACAGCTTGAGGACTGTCAGACTGGGCTTGGCAAAGGAGGTGAGAGACACACTCACCGATGAGGAAGAGACGAAACCGAACATTTTTCCGAAGACCAGTACTATTGCGGTTGACTATACCAGGCCTCGTGTGGATGGTAAAAATGATTTGAATGCAAATGCAACAGAAGGCCGTCATAGAAGCGACTTGGCTCGCTAGTCCAGCAATCATTATATCGATACCAGTTTGATTGAGACTGGACGAGATATCCAGCGAGGTGAGAGCACCGCCTCCTGCTTGTAGTACAAGGGAGATAAAATCGCAGCCGATGAAAATCATCGTGATTGTTCGTCCGGTGAGCGGGCTCGTTTCGGTTCCGTATACGGCAATGATTCGTGCAAGGCATATGTAGATTGCACCCGAAAAGAATGCCGGGCCAATGGTCAATCCAACCAGGTATATGATGAAATATGTCCGATTGAACACATCATAATGCAGCTCGACTCGAGCAACATACCCCATGATCTCAAGAGCTATCCCACCGAGCATACCAATTTTGAAGCCCCAGGTATGATAGCGTATCCCCAGCCCAATGTGTACAGTGAAAGCCAGGCCAAAGATTGACAGATAGAGTAGGTTTCCTCCGAGGGATGGAATGTATGTCAGCTGGCCATAAATATCGACTGAACAGGTCGCGTAAGTGCAGAGAGCAGGATCGAAGGTGGAATTCATTGTGTCGGGTCAGTGAGGCTAGAAAACGAACATTCAGATGAAGGTTTGTAAGTCGGTGAGCGTAACCATGACAGTGTCCATTCTCCCTCCCTTTTCCTGGTTTTAAATGTGCAAGATGGTTCATGAGCAGAGCTGCGGTGTAGGCAGCAGTGATTGAAAACATCTCCATCGAGCATTTCGCAGTAACAATTTGGCCGTAGAGAGGTCCTTTTGGTTTTATTTTTTGGGAAAGGCTCCTCGTTTTTGATGCGATGTTTTGTGCGAAAAGACTTGGCTCTCTCGGTCTTAGAGTTTCAACCTTTCCACTATGAGCGTAGTTCGCCCTGCCAAATAGTCAGTATGAAAGCTACCCGTTTGATGCCGCATTGCAACTCTTCCGACCCTTGCAATCGAGCCTTGTTTTTTAAGAGCATGTTGCAGCGTTTCCCGAAAGGATGTCACTCTATTCTTCCTACCAGGTCTCAATATCGGTCTTTGAGTTTTGTGAACACTTCTCGAATCCTTAGCCTCTCAAACTAGGATCTGGTCCATATGCGAAGAACACGTACCAATGTCCGTCAGTCAAAATATGGCTGCTTCACATGCAGGTTAGTATGCGTGGAAAAATTGGGTCCTCGAACGACGCTGACTACTTTCATTTTTTCCAGAAGTCGTCGCGTCAAATGCGACGAAGGAAAACCAAGCTGCGCGCGGTGCCTTAAGTCTGGTCGGGCATGCGAAGGATATCCGCAAGGAGCAATCCCGGCCATTGAGTCGAGCCGGGAAAACGACCGGAAGTACGTTGTTATGCATGAAAGGCTGAAGAACTCTCGGCTGCAGGTCGAGACTATCAGTCACCATCCTGGATTCAATCAAGATTCTGAATCCTACCGGTTGCAAGCCTTGGCCTGTGAAGTCTTCTCACGTGGCTTTGTCGGCGCGAGGACAGCAGCCGAATCAGCATTGTGGAATTGCCTGTTGCCTCAACTCAGTTACTCTGTCGAAAGTGTGAAGGAATCTCTTGCTGCATTTGGAGCATCTTATGAACATCAGATGTTAAAACGTCAATGTGTCGTATCAAGGCAAGTGCTCATGAAGCGGACGGCAGCATCAATGAAGAAACTACGGGAAGACCTGGTTCAACTTCCTTACGGCCCTCTCCCAATCCTTGTGGCTTGCGTTTTACTATCTTGTTCGGAAATAATGCAACACAAGCTGATTGATGCATTGGTTCATCTGCGAGGAGCATTTTCAACCATGTCCGTACGCCATCATCTTGCGTTATCCTCGAGAGGAAATAAAAGTCTGCAAGACGATGAGATCTCCTATCCTTTTAGGAAGCTGGATCTTCAAGTAATCACTTATGCACCCGGTCGGGCACCAGAGCTCCCTCTGTCGGCAACTGAGAATATGGCAGACTCACCCAAGGGTCTTTTCACAATCGACGCTGCCGATCGCATACTCTTCCGAATTCTCCACTCTTGCTATCATTTCACGTCTGTGGCTGGACAATACAAATATCGAACAGACGCCGCTGTTCATGAGTCTCTGGTCATCGAACAAGGCCGACATATTGGCAGGATGAATGACTGGCTGTCATACTATGCGAGATGCCATTGGGACACGAATGGTCACGATTCGCATCAAAATCGTGCACATGGGCTGGTGCTTCAAGCGCAGTGTCTTAGCGCATTGACATATGTTTCCAATATTTTCGAGCCATTTGAGCAGGCGTATGACAAATACTCGCTCCTGTTCCAACAAATTATCGAATGTGTCGAGAATGCTTTCCGTGCTAACAACGACACGGACTTGCCAACATTCAATCCAGAAATGGGGATCATTCAACCTCTCTTTTGGACAGCTGTGAAATACCGCGACTCCAAATGGCGGTCAAAAGCAATATCACTTCTTCGAAAGTGTGGACGTGAAGGACCATGGTGCGGCTATGTGGAAGCGGTTGTCGCGGCTGCGGTGGTGCGAGCGGAAGAAGAGGCATCCTTGGGATCAGCGAAGGCTATGGATGGATCACTTCTTGAATTCAACAGCATGTTGCCGCAAGACATTCTAGAGAGTGCTCGAATTTCTCGATGTGTTCTGTGTGATATTATTGAAGGTTCAGAGGGATCCAAGCGGGCGGTGATCCAATTGACGAGGTGTCGAGATGTAGCTTCCATGCTGGCGTCTGATCTTTCGCTCGATGAAAGTTCGCACTGGCTTACCTGGCGGGAAACTTGCGACCTTTCTGTACCTTAAAACTGAACAAGATCCTAGTTGGCGAGTCGTAGATCGCTATTCAAGCCAGCCTCAGTCGGGCCTAAAAGCGGTTATGCGGCTCACCAGGTCCCAGGTGGCACCAACTAGGGAGTTCACTCAAGCCATTCCTCTTTATCAACCCTAGTCACCACCATTCTACACCTCTTAGCGTTGCACGGGGAAATAATTACGTCGGCACACTTCGGTGTTTGAGTTTAATTGCTGCCTGCCTGTTATAATATGAAGCAGTAGTCCTTCCTCGCCATGATGACTTGGGCGATCGAGTGCAATTGACTATGTTTTCGTTTTCATTCTTACCAATGCATGCATTTCTAGTGCTTCTCGTCATCCTTTTGAGCCTTTCTGAGCTTTGCCGGGCGGCCCATGAAGGTAACAGTGTCCACGGGAGTAAAAGATTTCCATATCTAAAAGTATCTAGACACCACGAAGACCTACCTGACAGCATCTTTCTTTTCGGAATATGAATCTCAGCGTGTCACTATCAAGTATCCCCCGGTAGAGGTACCGCCTATGAGCAAACACAATGGGATGGGAGGATTCCAACAGCCTTCGACATTACTTCCTTGCAGTGACTGTCTCATCACTTGGATGCAGATGAATCTTGAATATTCGGATGGAACAACTGCAGATGCAAACACTGGGCTGTGGCTACACCACGGAGTGATGGTAAACAGAAACAGGTCAGATGCGACCTGCCCTTGGAAAGCATATGGACAAAGATTTCTCGCCTCTGGAAATGAGCGCACTGCGATTGACATAACTGCAAGCGGGTAACTGAGTTTTCCCTTCCCCACCTAGCCGCCTGCACTCACCCCCCCAAACTTTCTCTCCCGGTGTTCCATTCCAAGACACTGACCAAGCCGCCAAAGGACTGTCAAGGCAGGCTATTATATTGGTTCTGAGGACCAAGTTGCCCTCACGGTGGACTTGATGAATATGCTCGAAACCCAGCCTCAAGGTAACGTTGTATTCACCATCACCTACGAATTCATTCCCGGACGTCATCTCCAGGAATTCTCAGCAGTCATTCCCTACTGGTTGGATGTTGGAGGATGTGGTTCTTCGGGCGTCCGTGCATATCCCGACAGGAAGTTTGAATATTCCAGCGAGTTGCTGAAGGGATGGCCTGAAGGATCCATCATTTTTGCCGGAGGACATTTGCATGACGGCGGCACACGCATTGAGCTGCAGAAGAACGATCAAGTGGTTTGCAACCTGGAAGCAAGTTATTCTCAATATCGATACACGTCAGGTGCCGACCAGGCTCCGGCGCACATTTCCAGCATCGAAAACTGCCAATTGCCCGCAGAGGCTGCTCCTGGAGACAAATGGCGCATTGTTGCACACTATGACACCGCCTTGCACCAGCCAATGGTGATGATGGATGGTTCCCTCGAGCCAGTCATGGGCATTATGCTGGTGTACGTGGCCGGTGCGCAGGCGCCTGTTGAACAGCCCAGGTCTAAATGCCTGAATGTCATTCTTGGTCTGGGAAGCGCAATGTTTGTTGTCCTTTTGGCTGCTGCCTGGTGTTGGCTCGGCGGACATTACGAGATATGGAAATATCGGAAGCTCCCACAGGCAGAAGCGTTTTTCAAGGAGTTCGAATAGGACCAAGAAGCGGAATTATGTCATTGCTAGGGAACATAAATGAAACTAATGTTTCGGCTTCAACCAGGGTGTGGAGTTCGCATGTGATCGCTCTTTGGAGGCTCCTGATACCGATCCGAGATTGGGGAAAACACAAAGAGCGAAGATGTCCGATAGAAACCATGGAAATATATCTGGATAGCTAAATTATCGTATTCTTTTGCGTCGATGATATCCTACTACTTTACTCGACAACGGTATAGCCTGGGGGATATGCGTTCGTAATAGCCCATCAAAGCAATGAAACATCGGATACTACACTAGGAGGTGGGAGCACATGTCCCAACATAGGATATAGGAGTAGAAAAGGGATTAACTAAGATGGTCGTTTGCTCCGTGAAAAATTATGGAAGAGTCATAGGAATGTGTAGCGGCGATATTGTGTTTAACAAGTACCTTCGAGCCGTCCAAGAAACGCTAGTCTTTCACGGGTTGGTTGTTGCGTATGTCCAAGCAGGGACAGAGCCGGAAGTTATTGAATTGACCGTGTCCGCGCCCGGTTTGAACAGTGCAACTGTGGAAATTGGAGTTTCACAGGGATGACAGGGGAACCAGTTCAATCTTCTGGATGAAGGAACTTATGGCGAAGGGCCGCTGACACGCATGCAGATAGAAAGTTAAGCCATATTTGGGCGTGATATTGTCCCGTATTTAGATGTCTCAATTGCACATCTAAACATGAATCCGTCGGAGGGTAGACTGTGACCTACGCTTGTGTTTCCACTATTTCCCTGCCGTAAGTACATCTAGTCTTGTATTGAAGGGAAGCATCGGGTTCTACGGACTGCGAGGCCTCCCAATGGGCATTCATAGAGGAACCTTCCCATATTATTATTGCTCCCGAGATGGAGGGCATAGCTGGCCCGAGCTCGGTATTAATCCTTTCGCTGCTTCTCGTATGTCCGTTGCCAGAATGTTATAAAGCGTTGGCCAACACTATGGTCGAACTGAACTTTTTTTTCTCTGAAGTTTCCTCCCGACAATCCAAAATGCCCCTTCAATTCGACCCAGAATACTCCGAGGTTCTTGCTCACCCCTCTCATAAGGTCCCGACAAAGGCCGGCTCTTTACTGTTGGCCAGTCACGTGACTGGTTGCCTTGGCAACGTCACGTGAGACTGTTTGGCTTGGCAACTTGCGCCCTTCTTTTCGTCTTGCTCTCTCTTAGATAGAACAACAACAACACATTCCTTCTCTAGACTCCACAGTCTATCAACCGCCTCATTTAAATCAATGTTATAATGCACTGCCATACCACAAGATCGGGTAAACGCATCCAAAAACCGCAGGGAGGACGTAGCTGTTGCAGAAAAGATGCTCATGAGTCAACTGATATTCGCGCGACATAGGCCAAAGAAAGCGACAAGGCTGATTCATTGACGTCCAAAATCTCCTCACTTTACGCAAAATGACTACGTGGACGGCGAGGCACCAGACGATAAGGCTGAACACCGGCCAGAGATTCAGCCATGGCTTACCGCCTTTTTTGAAAAAATGTCCTATATTAACCCAAGACAAACCAAAAAGTTTCATTGTATGTTGCGCACAGGCTACTGGCGGCAAGCATTTGGCCTAGAGAGTGCAGGGGCGATTGGAAAGACATAGCAACCCGATAGTGTACGTTGTATCAAGTTTGAAACTGTGGATCTAGTAGACGCTGTTTTTGAGAGCCTCGCATCGTCTTTGAACAGTCGCCCAACGGGCCAAGACGAGGTAAATTGACACCCAGCTCACCTCGACGCGGGCAGTGTTATACCGACCTTCCTTACTGTCAGGGACACAGGTCGGATCAAGAGGGACGACGGTCCACGATGTGTCGAACAAGGTCTCATTGAATGGCCGAATAGTAGCAAGTGCCCCTTTATTGAAAAGGGGTTATCACCCCTATGCAGGTTTTAGAGGTGGAAATAGGAGAAGAAAAGGGGTCAAACCCACGTGTATATATACCAGCAGTCTGGCAGGACCGGTTGTGAGGTAGACAGAGCATTCAATACATCTCAAGTTGTTCCCCAGTTTGACATCTCGATATCGAGGCTCGTCCGTTAACGCCCCGTTACGAGCCATTTTCGAGTGTGATCAGTAAGAGCTCGTCTTAGGTGGTCCATAGATTGGATCCGATGAAATACCACGACCCATCGGATCCAATCCGTGAACCACGTCGACATCGAGGCTCGTCCGTTAACGCTCAGTTATGAACCATCTCGAGTGTGACTAGTAGAGCTTGTCTGAGGTGGTCCACAGACTGGATCCGATGGGCGACGAGAGGGGGATTTCATCGGATCCAATCCATATCGAGTTGGGAGGGCGCCCCCCTCCGGGTGCCACGTGATCTCGGAAAATGTTAATCCGTTGAGGCCATAGACTGGATCCGATGGGTGACAAAGGTGGGGGGGAGGGCGCCCTCGGGGGGTATTATTCTGTACACCAACTTTTGTTATTCTGTACACCGGAAAACCTGCTTATTCTGTACACCATGCCTCAACTCTCCTTATTCTGTACACCACCACCTCTCTCTCGCCTTATTCTGTACACTTAACGCTCTCATCCTGTTATTCTGTACACCGCGCTAACAGAGCTTGTTGCCGTTGGCCCGGCGATGGCGAGAAAACACTAGTAAGTGGCGTAGCTGTGGAGGGGTGACGCGTTAAACTCTCCCCGTTATAGGTGGTTGCGAAGCAATAAACACATTTGATTCCCTTTTCCTTGGTAGATAAGTACCGTGCATTTTGAGCTTCTCTGTATACTTTGTAAATTATTGTGGCCTACACAGCCGGATTTGTGTAGAGATCCCCTGCACGGTCGATACCTCGTGCTGACTAAGGTAACAAACCAGCGCCCATAGGCTT